GTCGACACCCTGCGTGATGACGTAGATCCCCCTTGAAATAAAATTATATAGAATTTGAAAAAAAAAATTCTGTTCCACATGCGGCACATGTGGATCCTGTCGCGTTGCTCATGTAAGTACAAACCCGTTGATAAGTCTAATTCGGTAGGTCACATTCAAAATGCACATGTTAAATTTGCAATCTTGTATCAAAATGCCTTCAACAGCAACATGCACCACTGATTAACTTTTTGTTTTATGGAAATATGTAAAATGTGAAACACTATTTTTAAGTATATGATATAGACTCTGTTATAATAAATTTCAAGTAGGATTTTACAACTTTTTTAATTTTTACACTGTGAGTGAAACAAATACACGGAAATTGTTGGCCTTACTCAAAATTTAAATGCTAGCTTTTTGTACATCTCAGTTCACTAATTATTTTTACATGTACGGTTTGTGTCTTTGTATATAGGTAATATCAAGAACGTTCTAAATCATTCGTGTTTCACAGACTGTTAACTTATTATTAGATTATAAATGTTACATCCAAACTAGTTATTTTCAATTATTAATCCTTAATAACATCTTTTTATGGCTATATATAATTATTTCTATTAATCCTAAATTGATGTCGTTATAATACTATAAATAATAAAATCATATCGAAAACTGCTGCTATATTTTTGAAACAGATACATTTTATTTGGTTGTCCAGTTTTGGGTGATTTCTTTTTAAAAGGAAGCTTTTGACTAAATTATCACTATTACTTTTATTTGAGAAATTTCATACATTTTAACTTAGTCCGTGTATATGTTGGTTAATATTATACATAAAATCTTCATTTACATTTGAATCACATTTGACAAATTTTCCGGTTTCCTTTGTTCTGATATTTAAAGATAAAAATCTCTAATTGTAACTAAAAATACTTATTAAATTTTGTGATGAAATTTTGTAAGTTTCCTCATACATGTATGTTTGTTATGTTTCAAATAGAGTGATAAAGTAAAAAAAGTATAACAAAAATACCGAACTCCAAGGCAAATTTAAAAAAAAGTGAAATTCATAGAAACTGACAAAATCAAACGCTATCAATCAACGGAACAAGTGAAAAACAACTGCCAAATTCTGGACTTGGTACAGGCATTTTCCAAAGAAAATGGTGGGTGAAACCTGGTTTTATAGCTAGCTTAACCTCCCACTTGTAACGGATGACAGTTGTGTACAGTTCCGTTGTATTTGAGACATTTTCCTTGTTTCTGTTTTTGCGTCTACTGAATACTAATTTTTCTGGTCAAGAAATTTTGTTAGTTTCCTTGTGATGATTCAAAAAGAGTTTCATAAAGTGAAACATTTTTAAACCTGAGATAAACCTAATTTCCAAGGGAAAAATCAATCAAATCAGCCAGTATCAGAAAAGCACAAGTACCCGTTTCCTGCCACGTTTGTAACGGACCAAGGGCTAAATGGAAATGTGAGGAATTCGATGTGTTTATGTGTACTGCCTTCAAAGAGAAAGTTCACGGATAATTGAAATGTTCTCAAGGCCATGAAGTAGCTACCATTCATGATATTCAGGATATTCTTGCGGATTCGAACGAAGTGCCATCTAAGGTAATTACTTCGGTTGTCAATTCGTATACTACTTCCGTGCTGACAATTTCTTACTTATCATGTTCAAATGATGATATAGTTTTCATTCTATACAAATTTTCCTGGTTCCTGTTTCCAGCGAATTCATGATAAAAATCTTAGTGTTTGCCTAAACTAAATACTAATCTCTGGTCATGACATTTTGTCAGTTGTTTGTGATGATTCAAAAGAGTTACATAAAGTGAAACATTACCAAACCTGAGATAACCACCTAATTGTCAATGATCCAATCAGCCAGTATCAGAAAAGCACAAGTACCCGTTTCCTGCTACGTTTGTAACGGACCAAAGGCTAAGTGGAAATGTGAGGAATTTGATGTGTTTATGTGTAGTGCTTGCAAAGAGAAAGTTCACGGAAAATTGAAATGTTCTCAAGGCCATAAAGTAGCTTCCATTCATGATATTCAGGATACGCATGCGGATTCGAATGAAGTGCCATCTGAGATAATTACTTCGGTTGTCAATTCGTATACTACTTCCGTACCGACAGTTTCTTACTTATCGTGTTCAAATGATGATATAGTATACATTCTCTACAACGTTAAACTAACGGAATGCGTATTTATTAAAGGGAAGATACTAAAAGCATCATTTAAGGTACTAAAAACTTATCCTCTTCCAATGTTTAACTTTACCTTGAACAGGAATGACGAAGTTCTTTTTACTAATATATCTTCTGAAAAGGAAAGTCCTGTTCGTATGATTTCATCTCCGGATGAAATCAGAACTGTCATGGACCCCACACCCATGCTATTAACTACTTTGCATGTAAACAAAGATAACGAATTTGTGCTTGGTTTACGAGAACAAGGACCAGCATTTCCAGTACTTGATTTTTCCGTGCGCCAAATTGCAATATTTGGTAGTGACTATCGACGCCCAATTAATTTGGAAAAGGATACCAAAGGGAGAAAATTGTTTTCTTATCCTTCTTACTGATTCCGAAAACGTTTTGTATGTAGCTGATTTGTACATATTAGACTTTACGGGAAAGCTACTAGCAGTAAACAGAACTGAGCGCTTGAAATTTTCTTACAGAGGACCACCTAGTTTAGGTGCATTCTGTCCGTATTCATTTGCTATTACACCAATAGATAACATCGTACTGCTGGACAACCTTAACAATGCTTTACATGTTTTGAATCCAAAGGGAATTCTCCTTGCTTTACAGTATCTTGTCAAGTTAAATATAGTAATAGCTAGTGCATTATGTATTGACAATGAGGGACTTTTATTAATCGGATGTAGAGGATTGGATGGTCAAAATGGAAAAATTCATGTTGTGAAGATTGCAGATTGGTTCATGTGATTAAAAGACAATCGGTGATTATATTTTAAAAACTTTGCAAAGGATTGCTTCTACATGGATTGTTCTTATTAACATAAACGATACCAATTTTACTCCACCGGATGTGCATTTCGACAATTAATGTCTCTTGAGTGATGCTCCAGACCAAAATATTTGAAAATCCAAAACTTATTGAAAAACTTAATTATTTATTCTAGCATGTATTAATACACAGAAGCATGTCATGTAGAGCAGCATGACAAACAATACTTCAATACAATATATTTAGGGTTGACAAGGTGTTGGGAGACCTGAACAAAATGGGGATTTAGAAAAAAATGTAAGACGACCGTAGGGATAAAGGTGATAGGAGTCGTAGAAAAAAGAAATAGTGCATAAGAAATTTAAAGAAAAAAAAGACACAATAAAAGAGAAGAGAAATGGACAGTAGAAAGATCAAAACTACCCCTGTCCTACTATCATACAATTTAAAGAACCTAGACATAAAATTCTGGGAAACTTTTATCTGAGTAAATTTATGCAACAGTAGTTTATCAATGTTCAATTCTTATAAATCGATTAAGAAGATACAAATCAAAGAGAGGCGAAAGATACCAAAGGGACTTTCAAACTCATAAGTCGAAAATAAACTGACAACGCCATGGCTAAAAAAATAAAAAAGACAAACAGACAAACAACAGTACACAAAACACAACATAGAAAACTAAAGACTGAACCCCATCAAAAACCAAAATCAAGCTAAAACATAAACTGAGGGAATCGCATCAACTCAAAAAGGAGAGAAACCGGGTGCGTCGACAAATTAAAGGTCTCCTACTATGCATGCATTCAGGGAAAATGTCATAATCGGGAATAAGCTAAACACAGCCGAAAGTTCTTCGACTTTTCTAGCCTTTCCTTTAAGTCATTTTTATCTATGGACTAAAACATTTTTGGTAGTTAAGTTCTGAAGCTTTGGTTTCCCTACCTACAGCGTATTTTTAATTTTATCCTAATGAGTTGGGATCGAAAAATACACACATACAGTTAGATTTATATTAACATTTAAAATCCTTGCTTGTCGAATCATGTATCTTATTTATTTTTTGGTTCAATTTAGTGGTCATGCTATTGGTAGCTGGACAGTGCAGGTGTTAGCTTACCTTGCCTACAGATGTCCGTCATCGTCGTTCATCCGTTTGTCCGTCGTCGTAAACGTCTACTTCAGTGAAACAGCTGGGTCTAATGTTATCAATCTTTGTCAAAATGTTCATCGAGGAACTTAGTTGTAAAATATTTCATTCATTAACAAACAAGACCGTGTTTGCTACAAATAGAAAATAGAGGTAAATACATGTACTTCAAACCACTTATTTTCTTTTACAAGAGTACAGTTTTTATTTCTAGATTGAAGAGAGTTTATAGTGCTTAGGGTGTATGTGCTCATATTCTTAAGGGCGTCTCGTGCACTGTGTGAGCTTTTAAGTTCTTGTACAGTTGCAAAACCATCTCAAAGACTCAAAAGAAGCATCTTGCGAAGTATTTGAATTTCACTTTCACATGTATTGATGATGTCCTATCACTCAATAACCCACATTTTAGGGATTGCATACAGCATAGTGAATTTAAACAAGTAGGGTAACTTACATCTGTTTGTATTGCTCACACATTGTTGTCAATATAATGAAATTCTATGCGACTGTCTGTGTCATACAAGTGGGAGGTCTAGCTAGCTATAAAACCAGATTTAATTCACCATTTTCTACATTAGGAAATGTCTGTACTAAGTCAGGAATATGACAGTTGTTTTCATTTCGTTTGATGTGTTTGAGCTTTTAAATTTGTCATTTGATAAGGGACTTTCTTTGGAGTTCGGTATGTTTGTTAATTTACTTTTTTACAACTGCCGAACATGCGCGGATCACTCTTTACACCTATATATAAAGTACTCCCACTTGCAGGAAAGAACCGTTGGTAAAAGAGCATTAAAAGTTCGATGCAGAAATCTGAACATTAGTATCAGACCCTTATCTTATACCGAAATGGTTTATTGAAGGAAAACAACTATCTTAAATGTTGTTTTATTGTTCTATCAAGTCAATTTTTTAAACGGGAAGTTGGCCATAGAAGGAATTGGTAATGATTTATTTTTCTACGAAAGAAATCCTAATTAGTGATATTCATCAATTTCTTTCATGAATATAAAATCTCTCATGACTTGTGGAATGGGTAGCTCCATAACATTGTGATAGAATGAGTTGCCTAAATGATGTCTAATCCACATCCTACACGTTTGCTTTAAACTCCTAATGTCATTTGCATGATCGAACCAATGATCAATGTCAAATTGCTTTAGTTTTTCTCGCACTTCGTCATTCTGAATGGCTGCTTTCATGTGAGCTCTATCGTATCCTGTTAAAATGAATAATTTAATTATGTCTACTGCATTCAATGATAGCGCTAGCGTAATGGGACATTCTTCTATCGGGATGTGTCCAGCACAGTGGAATGTATCCACCATGCAGTTAGCTCGAAGTAAAAACTTAGCAATTTCATTCTGTTTATTTTTAATAGCGTACCATAAAGGTGTATGATATTCGAAATCATAAATGTTCACGTCAGCATCTGCTTCAATCAGATCTCCAACACAATCCGTATGTCCTTTATATGTTAAAACGTGAAGCGCCGTCTTATTTGACAGCGTGTTTGCCATGTTGACCTGGCAACCAGCTTTTATTAAAGTTTTGACAACACGATCAAAACCCTCCGTGGCCGCCACGAGTAATGGCGTTATATTGTCTTCATCTGCTACATTTACATCTGCCCCGGCCTCTAGTAAAATGTCAACTCCCATGGCTTTACGGCTACAGTAGTGAAGTGCTGTCCAACCATCATTGTTCTTTGCATTTATATCACATTTTACGTTTAAAAGTTTCTGTATTATTAGAAGATGGCTGTGTTTGGCAGCAAGAATCAATGGAGTATTTCCAGCAGAATCTCGGGAATTTAGGTATGCACCATTGTTGATTAATATGTCCAGGCATTCTTCAAGTCCAAGTTTGGCTGCGATGTGCAACGGTGAGCATTTCCCCACTCCTTTTGAGTTTATTGTATCGCCATTATTCACAAGTAATGTCACAACTTCAGGCTTGTTTGCCTGGACTGATAGAAAGAGTGGTGTATTGCCATGTGAATCTGAAATATCTTGACACACATACTTTGTTGCTAGGATACAACTCACACACTCAGTATGGCCCAATTTGGCAGCTTGCAACAAACCAAGATCAAGGTCGCTTTTCTTGATACTTTGTGGAACCTTTAGTAGGACTTTTAAGATGGGAATGTTGTTGTTTTTAACACTGTCAAGAACACTGAAAACAAATATCAAAAATATTTAGTAAGAGATAATAATCTTGAATATATGCCTACTATTGAATTTTGTAACATCATGAAAAACGCAAAAAAAAAACAATAAACAATCAAAAATGTATTTAATGACGTTCCAAGCATATGAATTCTGGAAAGAATGTTACATTGATGAAGACCGTGTCTGTGTTTTTACCTTTAGATGTCCTTTGTTTGGGTTAATTTGATATCGTTTTGTTATATTGTTGGCGCATAATCCGCATCTTCTTTTGTCATTTAAAATTGTTCTAAATATCCATTTACTAACCCCCCTCTGATCATACAAGTTATAATAATCTCAAATTTACTTTGATGTGAACATTTTTGTTTGTTTGAAAATTATAAGTACTGAGGGTTACTATTCAAGTTCGTGACCGACTGGAATACAAATCATGTTTTGAAAGGACTTATAAAGTCTCCTGTTACTCCGCTTTCATATTGAGCAAACGATTCTACGAACATTTCTTTTTTTGTGACAGTTCATTTTGGGGTCTTCTTCGCTGTCCACGTTTAAACTCTGTAGATTTCGTTGAAAAGTCAGACATTTATTTGGAGTTAAACAACTAAACCCATAAAGTGCCGGGTGTAAATTGCAGAATAAAAACAATATATGCACATAATATATAAGTATAGCAGAATAAAGTAATTTTGTTTTCGTATAAGTTCTTCAACTCGCATCCGGTATACTCGATTATCGTACAGAGGATAAAATGAACCCTTTACTGTACGCAATTCACACATGGAAAATGTAAACATCTGATGTATGATTTATACCAGGTCAATTGAATGAAGAAATAGACAAATTTACAATTTTGAATTGCCGTGCTCTATAAACCAGGTAAATTATCCATTTCTCTTACACGGCATTAAGCTGGAGCGTGCCGAGAGACGAGATGTATAAACTGATAAATGCGCAACCACGTTCTGTTGAGCAACACATCTCTTAGTAGTCGGGAAGTAATCACCTACAAAACAAAAATTTCATAAGTACAGGGGACCCGTGAAGGAGTTGACCATTTGATAAAATGGAAGATGGGGTACCCATTGTATCATCAGCTCAGATGTCAGTGCTTTGGTACTGACATCATTTAACACAAACCTTTATAAAATTCTGAATTGAAAAATTTAGAAACTGTTTAGATAACTAAGGCTAGGATGAAAAATTTTTTTAAACTCTGTAGATTTCGTTGAAAAAACAAATGTTCTTAAACCCCTGCTGACTGCCATTGGCGATTGCCAAATAAACGGATCACCGATGTAATAAATGGATCTTAAATATAAATTTAATACTAAACAGAAAACAATAAACTTGCGGAATCCGGATATGGTGTACAAAAACCTTTGCACCTTTTGTTTGCGGTATACCATCTTTTCTGCAAGTTTATTGTTTTCTGTTTAGTATTAAATTTATATTTAAGATCCATTTATTACATCGGTGATCCGTTTATTTGGCAATCACCAATGGCAGTCAGCAGGGGTTTAAGAACATTTGTTGTTCGACCTGCTAGTCAAATGCGTTTTGTTAAAATATACTTTTTCACTTTTTTGGTCTTTTGGAAAATGTTGTTTGTGCTGTATTTAGACCCCTCTAACAAGAAATTTGCTTTGCATGCACATGTATAAAAATTGCGGTTTTTATCCAACGCAATCATAGGTTTGAACGTTGTTTTCAATTTAGACTTGTTTATACTTTTTCGTTTGGGCTTGTATTATATTTGCCTTCGGGTTTATATGATCCGTTCATCCTATTTTGACTCCTCAAAATTCAAGAGTCTATCCTAAATTGAGGTAAATTATATGGCTTTCCTAATACCGTTTCGATTCCTAACATCACTGAAGAGACATGAATTGTCGAAATCCGGATATGGTGTACAAAAACCTTTGCACCTTTTGTTTGCGGTATACCATCTTTTCCGCAAGTTTATTGTTTTCTGTTTAGTATTAAATTTATATTTAAGATCCATTTATTACATCGGTGATCCGTTTATTTGGCAATCGCCAATGGCAGTCAGCAGGGGTTTAAGAACATTTGTTGTTCGACCTGCTAGTCAAATGCGTTTTGTTAAAATATACTTTTTCACTTTTTTGGTCTTTTATATATATATATATATATATACAGCTAGATCAGAGAAAGTCTGGGTAAAAATACCAAAGGAATCTATAGATATGCAGCAGATTGGCACTTTTGAAATTAAGTAACAAAGCAAATTCAAACAGACCTTATCTCGATGTAAACACTGAATGCGAAAAGAATGAGAAGACCGCAAATACATGTAAAAAAATCGAGATGACCTTTTCTTAAAATTGTAAAAAAAATAGTTAAAAGATACCTACTTTATTAGAAAAGTTATCTTTAATTTCTTAACCTGCACAGACAGACTTTTAAAAATTTATATTCAGGAAAAGACAATATTTCTCTATTGAATGTACATGTGACAAGAGCAGACTGGTGTGCTCGATAACTTAGGTTTGAAAAAATAGTATGCTTTGAGAAATTGAGACATGCTAAGGACTTTGTGGAACACTCCAAAAATTGGTGACCAGAAAGATCTTTAGATTTTGTATGTACAAGATTTTTTCCAATTTTTTTTAACCAATATGCAAGAAAGATTGGCATTTTTTAAATTTTAGTTTTACAAGCTTCTAATGCAATTATCTCGATAAATACTGAACATAAAACATCGTGTATTTGCATGTATATTTCTAATAACACAGTTTAACAAATAATTTCTTTCAAATGTACAATTATTAATTAGAAATACATTTTGATCAGTATCGTCACTGGCATTGTTTTATTATTGACTTTCTCGACTCTATCATAAGAAGAGTGAATTTTCTTTTGTTTTCGTTCACTAGATTTCAAACTGTACTGTAAATTCAGAAATTATTGCGATGTTTTTATTATTGCGAAAAATGCAACAGGGTTATAATCGCAATAATTTAAACTTGCATTTTGAAAATTTTTATATGAATTAAACAGGATTTTTCTCAATATCGCAAAAATTAAAATCGTAATTTAGTCTAAAATGACAAAATCGCAATAATAAATGCACGCAATAATTTCTGAATTTACAGTATATATTAAAATCCTTGCTGAAATCTTCAACTATGTTTTGTACACAATTTGTTTATAAATTTTATTTGAGCTGCTCAAAGCTTTTTAATTTTTTTTTAAACAAGTTTTTTTATTAATTACCAAAAACTTACTACATATGTACTAAGTATGTAAGTATGTAGTTTGTTAGTTTATGGATCCGCTGACCTAATTTTTTCAAATTTCAGAAAAAAATAGAAAATTAGTTTGATCTTTATTGTTATTCCAGCAGCCCCTACAGAACAAATCACACTGAAATATAAAAAAAATATCTGCAAGGCTTTTTACCTTCAGATAATTTGTAAATACGTTAACATAACAGATTGCACATCAACTGTTGTGTTTGTGTTCTAAAAATAATCTGGACAAGTGGCACCATCTAGAAGTAATGATCTCTGTGTTATCGAAATCACAAACCCAATTTACTTAACCTTTCAGATTAAAAGTCTGTTACCCACAAATTAAAATATTGACAAGTTAAAAAGTTACAAAGTGAGGATGACATTTGTAACAAAACAGGTTTCTGCCATGAGAGAGAGGCCTTTATTAATTAACAGTTAAAAATGGGTATTTAATATGATCTTTTTTATGAAGTCATTATAAACCTTACATTTATAGATAATATTCATTATTATAGCATAAGCCCTGTGTGTCACATAATGTTTTTTTTAACTTTGACCAAACTGCCCCTTCTAATAATACTGTATCTTTGACATAGATGTATGCTAAGCTTGCTTTAGGATGAAGATTATTTGTTAAGACTGTGGAGGAGTTTTCATCACAACTTTAAAAAAATGAAGGTTACACAATACTTGATCAACACTTATATCATCTTACCTGGCCATGACTTTATTCCAGTGAAACTTTTCTCATTATGTTAATTAGATACAGAACCAGTTGCCATGACATTCCTGAAATAATTTATCATTAGCAAGCTATACAGTATGGTAAGGGAGATAACTCTAGTCTAATTACTATTCACAAGAATTTGTACTTTTATGCATAATGCAGTTATGAATAGAATTTATAAATAGAGGGTTTGAATATTAAAATTGTTTCTATACTTAAAGGCAGTAAAAAAATGCTTATATAGATCTATTTTTTTTTTTAAATATATTAAGAAAGTTGGATTTTATTTTGTAGGCTTATTGTTTTCAGTTTGGTGTAGTATTATGTCTGCAAGAATAACACAATGGTGCAATGTGGTAATGCCTGCACAAAATTATTTTCTGATGATAGACAGGTGGGTAAATGATGGAACATATGTAACAATGTAAGTCAAATCTTTAAATTAGTTCTGGATTTATTAATTGATAGGTAGGAAATTTTTGGAACAACGAGAATAACACTGACTTAGCCCTGACTTGATCAGCACAGCTCCTTTTTGGAAGTTTAATGACTCAGGTCTATTTTTTAGGACTCAGATTGGCTAAGATGCTTAAATTAATAAATCTTTATTAGTATTATCCAAAATTTGATAAACTTTTTTGATGTTTGAAACATCCCAGTGTCAGAAGAATCTAAACAAAATTCTTTAATCTGATCGTTGAGCGAGACATAATTTTTCCATTTAATTTAGGTATGATTAGAAAAAAATCATGTGTTTTGAGTTTCCCGGCTCACCTTTTTTTGTAAGCCTCAAAAGCCTACACTAAAGTTTTAATAACACTTTTGGTAGTGAATCCTTGGTCCCTATATCATGTACAATGTGTATATAATATACTAGGTAAAAGAGCGTCAAGCATAAAGAAAAAAAAATCTATGGGCCTGGTTAAAATGTTGACTTTGATATATAAAGGAGACAGTAGATTACCAATGTTCAAATCTTGAAGTTAAGGAGTAGGGGTAATAAGGCCCTTATTTGGTCCAAATATTACTGCAAATTTATCATACATATTCTTAAATTTGTCCTATCTAGACAATGGTACAAGGTATTCAGAAAATGAAAACAAATTTCACATTTAACGAGTTACCATGGCAACAAACCAAGACGAAATTTGTATATTTTGTAAAATTTCTTAATTTTCCTTGTTTTTCATCAAATGTTTATTATATTTCAGATTTGCAAAGTATGTGCGCACCCAAGAAACAACTTTATATTTGGTGAGATTATGTCAGTAATTATAATAAAGCTTCTCTTAAATTATTTTGTTGTTTTTTGGCTGCGCACCATGTTTCCACAATGAAATAACGATGGAAAACTGCATAAATTCTGTATTTTTCATTATTTTCATGAAACATTTTATTTTCTCAGGCCAAAACCGGGCCTTAATGCCCCTACTTCTTAGGAAAAGACAAATCAAGGCAACACACAAAAGTTGAGGGAATTTTTTATATGTAAATTACAGTTGAATATCTTTACCTATTATAATAAATGTCAAATAAAATAAATGATATGCATTGACTGATATCTTTTTTTACATTTGGTAAAAAATTACAATATACATTTAGACCTATCTCACACAAATTGTGACTTGGATGGAGAGTTGTCTCATCATCTTCTTATATCAATCTCCTTTATATATAGTAAGAAAAGTTGAGTTAACTTAGTTTAAATATATATTATTTAATTACTTCAATGATATGGTAGGTGAAAACCCTAAATTAATTTGTTAGTTGTCTCCCTTTGTACAACTTAGTGGTAAAAGACAGATATATCTTTGCAAAGTGATTTTTTTTGTCATACACAGAAAGATTAAGGGCCATTTTGACTTGATTTTCCTCCTTGGTTGTTGGATTAAATTTAGTTTGTCTAATTAAACATGGTCTATTTTTTTCACTCCCTAAACACATTTTCGCTTCCTCATTGGAAGCTTGGGACAGGAATTTTAGAACACTAGACCATGTAACCAAAATGTCCTTAGCAGGGAAAAACAATAACCATGGCCCAGTAGTCTAGGCTACTAAAATTTAGGCTAGGCAACTAAATTTTGGCTTGAAAGGTCCATATTGTTATGTTAAACTTTCATAAGGCATGCATGGTGTTAGATTGGACCCTTGATGGTAAATGTAAGTCTTTTTCTCTGTCTAGTTGTATTCATCATTATCCAGCCCGGGCCCCCCTTTTGTGGGAAAAATTTGGTTGATTATATAGGGAATCACTGAAGCATGACTGGAGCGGGCCCCCCTTAGCTCAGTCAGCGGGCCCCCCCTTATGAAAAGTTCTGGATCCGCCACTGGCATATGGTTTCTTTGAGAGTATCAACATTTTGGGACCAAACAGAAAACATCTAATAAACATAACAATAGGGAGATGAGGTAGGATTGCCAATGAGACAACTATACACCAAAGTTCAAATAAAAAGGATGTAAGCAATTATAGGCAACTGTACGGCCTTCAACAATGAGAAAAACCCATACCGTATAGTCAGCTATAAAAGGCCCCAACATGAAAAATATGAAACAATTCAATTGAGAAAACTAACAGCCTAATTCATATCAAAACAAATATGACAGACATTAACCAACGACAACCACTGAACTACAGGCTCCTGACTTGGGACAGGCACATAAAGAATGTGGCCGGGTTAAACAATCCACATGACATTTTAAGATTGTCGTTTAAATAATATACAAATTATAGAAAATATAAAAAGATGAATATTAATAGCACATACAATAGAATATTGGTAAATCTGTTTCATGTCTTATAAGAGAGAAAAACATATACATGTATTGTACTTCATCTTTCAATTGTTAGGCTGACATTCTATTCAATTACTTAACTTGTTGAGCACATGCACAATCATATTTAACTTGGGATAAATCAAAGGTCGCATGCATATGGATATAAATGAAGTCGAATTATTGTCTTGCAAGTCAAAAATGTATCAGCAAACTTTTTGGGCTGACTTTGACATAATTGAATCAAATCGACTTCTTATTACTAATATAAAAGAAGATGTGGTATGATTGCCAATGAGACAACTCTCCACAAGAGAACACAGAAATTTACAGCTATAGGTCACCATACGGCCTTTAACAATGAGCAAAGCCCATACCGCATAGTCTAACATTATCCAAAATTCCATTCTATAATGTAAATGTTTAAAGCAAAGAAAAAATTATTTAATTATTTTCAACTTTTAATGTTGAAATCTTAGCTAAAGCCCTGTTAAAAGATCTAACATTCAATTAAATATCTAGTCCCTGACAGAACTTTAAAAAAAAGTAATAATTTGGTTTTTGACAGTTCATTACATACAAAATCTTAAAACAAACTGTTCTTACCAGGCTTAATGTTATCTGTCAGACATATATAGGACATTCCAAATTTAATAAAGTTCTAAAGATATTAATTAATATCTCTTAAAACAAAAATGTCATTGTTGAGTAAAAAAAAAATAGTTATTAATTTCTACGGCCCTTTGATCTTTTGACAGTGAATCTTCACTACAGAAACAGTCTCTGCTTTTGATATTGAATCAGTATATAAAAACACCAACAGGTGCAATCAGTTTTCCTGAAATTTTTTCATTCGATTATCGTCACTACGATTTCATCAGGATTTCACATGCAGGAGAGCAAATGTAGAAAACAATGATGGAATCCGCAGGGAAAAGTTTATACGATAGCTACACTTTCCGTTTTAGTTATTTTAACACCTGATCATTAAACAATGTCATTAATCTTACATCTTGTTGATGATTCACACGGACCCTAAGTAAACAGATTTACCGAAGAATTTAGAAAACTAACGGTGTTGTCTAAGTCAACATATTTGTATAATATTTCACAGATTTTGTAAAAAGATGTGTTTACTTTTGTTGGTCATTTGTTGTTTATTTTGTGACCCTTTAATATAAAATAATCGTAAGTAATCTTATATCAGTCACTCCTGCCGATCTGGTATTTGTAATGAGATAGAAGGAGGATCCTTTCTTGAACCTTACGTAAAAAGAGAAAATCTTTTGGGCTCCAACTGTACAATAAGTGAGCCTTTCCCAAGCTCTGGCTTTAATAAGTGATAAATAAGATAAAAGACATCGATTCCAATTTTTTTTTTTTTTTAATTGGTAAAAAGAATAAACAGCTTAAACAACATCTGAAATATGAAAAAAAATTTAAGATTTTTAGTTAATAACATTATAAAGTTTAATTTTTAAAGATAATATTTTTTTTTGCTTAAATTTTTCATCTGCCATTTGAATTTCTACATGGAAATTACAATTGAATATCTTTACCAATTTAAAGTTCAATAAAATAGAGTTATTTATGAATTGACCGATTTGTTTTTATACGCCCGTTTACAGGATGTATTATGGTATACCTTTGTCCATCTGTCCGTCTGTCCGTCCGTCGTCAACATGTCGGACATTAACTCAAAAACGCTTTAATCAATTTACATAAAACATTTTCATAAAGGAGTAAGTCCAGTAAAACCCCTTTTTGGCCCCAAAATATAGCAGTTTTACAAAATTGTTAAAATGTAAACTTTCAGTTATTTATTGAAAAGTAGAATACTTCTGCTACATAAATATGGGCTGTTTTTGACAATACATTGCACATATATCGGGTACTACCATCATTTAGTCATGCTAAATTACTGAATTCTTCACAATTTTAGCATTTGAGTTAAATATTAGACAGTTTCCATCTTAAATGGAAGTGGCCGCATTTGTGTTCATTCTTAATATTTAAATGTAAGTTGTATTTGATGATAATACATAACATATATAAAGGTCAAGAGTGAACACAGATGCGGCCACTTTCATTTTTGACAAAAACTATCTGAAAAGTGACATATTATGGCATATTAGATAGATTTTTCATATTTAAGCTTGAATTTGAACGTCTTTAATGACTAAATCGGTTCAAATCTTTCACATAAACTAATTGAATCTACTGAAGTAGACACGTAAGTGTTTAAAAAGTGTCCAAAATCCAACATCAGATGAACCTGAAATTTGAGGCCAAAATAGGCCCTTACTGGACCTACTCCTTTCTAATATGACATTGAGAATAAATTGAACTTTATTTGTTGATATTCTGACAACAGATTTAAAAGTATTGCGCAACAGCACAGTGTATTGCACAACAGCAAGAAATCTTTAATTGAATATAAATTCAATTCATATAACCAATTTCAAGTTCTTTGACTACATTTATTCACAAACCTATAATATGTCAAATATTTAATTACAATCCGTCTGTCCTTCCGTCATCAACATGTCGGACATTAACTCAAAAACGCTTTAACCAATTTGCATAAAAATTTGGTGAATTGTTTATATCTATTGATGTGAGCTCCCTTTCGTTTTTTATAAATTTTAGATTTTACGTTTCCGAGTTATGGGGTTTTATTCATTAAAAAAAGGGGGATTTTCCAGTTTTCGGACAATAACTCAAGAATGCTTTCACCAACTTGCAAGAAATTGTGGTGAATTGTTTATATCTATTGACATGAGCTCCCTTTTGATTTTTATATATTTTAGATTTTATATTTCATAGTTACAGGGTTTTATTCATAAAAAAAGGGTGGATTTTCCAGTTTCCGCACAAAAAATCAAAAATGCTTTCAGCGGTTCTTATGAAACTTATGTGAATTGTTTATAACTATTGATGTAAGCTCTGTTTAGAATTTTATAAATTTTTCATTTATCATTTCTGAGGTATGGGGTTTTATTCATTAAAAAAGGGGGGATTTTCCAGTTTTCGGACAATAACTCAAAAATGCTGTCAGCAATTCTCATGAAACTTTGGTGAATTGTTTATATCTATTGATGTAAGCTCCCTTTACATTTTCATAAATTTCTAATATGACATTGAGAATAAATTGAACTTTATTTGTTGATATTCTGACAACAGATTTACTAAGTATTGCGCAACAGCACAGTGTATTGCACTACAGCAAGAAATCTTTAATTGAATATAAATTCAATTCATATAACCAATTTCAAGTTCTTTGACTACATTTATTCACAAACCTATAATATGTCAAATATTTAATTACAATCCAAATTCAGACCTGTATCAAGCTTGAATATTGTGTCCATTTTTGCCCCAACTGTTCAGGGTTGGACCTCTGCGGGTGTATCCAGCTGCGCTCAGCGAAGCAATTTATTAATATAAGGTCAGAAATTACAACAATATACATTTAGGGACATATGATTTTTACCTGGGAAGGGGGGGGGGGGGGGGGGGGGGCTGGTCATCTTGAAATCAAACATATATAATTTTCTTGATCCCCCCAATAATATATCACTATTTTTATTTTATCCCCCTCAAAACATTTTAAAAATTGTGATCCCCCTCTATTAAACATGCCAAAATTTTAACATGCTTAACATTTACCTTTGACACACATGATATGTAGGATATACTTGAAGATTCAAAAGTTCACAAATGTTTCATCTTGATCCCCCTACATTTTGACCAGTCCCCCTCCCAGGTAAAAAATGATAAGTCCCGTAGACATATCTTCTTTGTACAGTAAGCAGACTATTTATAGAAGAGAGACTGCAGAAACAAAATCGATAAAAAAAACTAAGTGGATGACGAATTAACAAAGCCATGGCAAAAAAAAACCCAAAACAACCAACAGTATACAAAACAAACCATAGAAAGCTAAGGATTGAACAATTGATAGCTTTATAGTTCAACATACATATTATTTGATTTCTTGAAAGCTTTGGTAGGGAAAAAAACTTAATATTTATTTGTGTATTGTCTCCCTTTGTACAACTTTGTGAATGCTTAGCAGACAGAACATATCTAATCTTGAAAGAGATTTTTTGTTATACATGTACACATAAAGATTAAAGGTCCATTTAGCTTTCTTTTTCTCTTTTTTGTCATTAACTTATATGTTTTATTCCACTTTGAAACAAAAGGAGGAAATTTGTACAGTGATTGTGTTTTTGCATATGCAGTCACCAGTTTCAATATTTTTTCATACCCTACCCCACTCTAGCAGTGGGGGCATCCTGTCCTATTGTCTGTTTGTCCAACAAATATTCCTGTAACACTATTGTCAGGCAGAATTGAACAGAATGACTTCATATTTGGTCAACAGCTGGACAGTGATGAGTTGCAACATTGATGCATTTCTATCAGACACCTTGTACTTTCTGTTTTCTATTACTTTGAATTACCAGTGGTAGCATGCTTAGCACAGCATCACTTGTTATCTTCTTGCATTTGCTATAGATATTCTAAAATAACATACTTAAAAGAAAAGGAAAATTTTCACCAAGATTTGTAGAGCTTTCTATAGTTTCTTTCAATAGACCACTTTCGAGTCATGTTCTACACCGGAAAAGTTCGTCAATTATGCGCGCCTTTATGAAGTCATTTACCAGATAGAGGGGATGGCCTGTTGCACTATTAAAATTCATCAAGCGCCTTGGTGATCGTCATTATGCAGGATAAACTAGAAATAATGTTTGTTCCTTAGGTACTTTATCACAATTCCCTAATGACAGCAGTGCTGATTATCAATTATAAGAATTTTATTTGCCGAAAAATTCATGCAATACAGCATTATATTTTTTCAACCACTTGCTCAACATGGGAAGGAAGTGACGATGCCCCTAAACGCACGAATGATGTTCACTAAAACCAATGTTTTTGACGGAAATGCAACAAACCTGAAAGTTGTTTATTAGTATATTTTATTAGGCTTTATTATATAAAATATTCTCATTAAAACACAAATAATATGTTTTTTTGTTTTATATTCGACTTTGCTGAAATTGAAGAATGATATTATAGAAGAAAAATTAAAATATATGTGTTTAATACTTGTAATAACTTTCAAAGTACAAATTACAAAATTACAAAACAAGTATCAAAATAAATGTTTAAAAAATTCTACATTTTGTAGTGAAAAATTTATTTCATGGTAATTTATCAATCAGAATACATTTGTTTAAAGCTGTCCATTTCAAAATTCCTGACTTTTTTTTCCAATTTTAGATTTTGTTCAAAGGGAAGCAACTCTTTGGTTGGACAAACTGTATCCATGCCTAGAGAGAGAAGAGAAAATGGAATGAGCATGGTGTGTGGGATTGAACAATAATTTTGACTTGGTAAGTAGATCACATATTTTTGTAAAAATGGAATTAAATATAGGTTGATAAGTAATGAATTGGTATGATTGATGTTTGAATACTAATCTTTACTTGTTTGTCTGTACATATGTCTTTTTGCTTTTGCTTTGCCTTGTTCATACATTTTCTGCTGGATTCTTAACTAAAGACATACATGTATGCCTTTCCCTTTAGTATTGCATTGACAGGGAACAGTCTGTTTAACCTAAAATATGTTTCCCTATGCCAATGATTTAAAAAAAATTGAAATGCACTAATTATTCCCAAAATAATATCTGGTGAGTCCTTTTAAGGCAACAAATGATAGAATTTGTGTGAAGACTTAACCAGTCTTACATGCAAATTGTAATCTTTCATAAGTCTCTTTAAAGATAAAGGGTATCATTTAATATCATAGATTTCTGCTGAAGTCAACTCTATAGGGACTTCATATTGTAAGGTGTGAGTTCTATAGCTCATTTATGAAGACCTCTAGTAACTGTTTAGATGAGGAACAGCAATAAAATAATGGTGCCTAGCTATATAGGTAATTTTCTAGGATTTTATTACAGATTTGTTTTAGGTACATTGACCTTGCATTCTGTTTTTTCCAAGTACTGTGGATTCCTACATTTTTGTTGAGGGGATATCAATTTTCAGGGATTGAGACACAATTTTATTAATTGATTTCATGGTTTTGGCAAAGTCTGCATACAAGACTTTAGAAAATTTGTACTGTGAATTTCAGAAATTATCAGGATATTATTTTGTCTCCCCTGCGACAAGCAAGACATAGGGATTGCTTTTCTGGCGACAGCTGCTGCAGTGGCGTCAACACTTGTTAAGTTTTCTGCTTAAGTTAGTTTGATAGGAACTACTTGTGATATAGATCATTGATATTTAATATAAAGTTGCATTACTATCAGTACATATCTGTTTGATGACTATTTTGAGGCCTTGCCCCTTAGGTTATGGTCCAGTGACTTTGAATTAATTTGCAATTTTCAATGTTAAGTTTTCTGCTAAAGTCAGTTTGATAGAACTGCTTGTGACAGATCAATGATATTTTGTATAAAGTTGCATTACTATCAGTACATCTCAGTTTGTCGACCATTTCTAGGCCCTGCCCACAAGATCATGGTCCAACGACTTTGAATTAATAAGCAATGTTGCTCTCCATCAGATTGTCTTTTTCTGAATTTTATGCGGACAGGCAAGACATATCTCTGTGTCAACAGTTTATTTATTGCTAAAATTGCAACAGGATACATTTTGAAAAAATTAAAATTCTGATTTTGAAATGTTGATAACAATATTTGAATGCAGCAATTTCTGGAATTTTAAAAATCATTCTTATTGTTTTAACAATCACAGTAATAAATGCATGCAAAAATTTCTGAATATATAGCACTGTAAATTCAGAAATTATTGCATGCATTAATTATTGCAACTTTATCATTTTAGACTAAAATGTGATTTAAATTTTTGTGATATTGAGAAAAATCCTGTTTAATTCATATAAAAAATCTCAAAATGCGAGTTTAAATTATTGCGATTATAACCCTGTCACATTTTTCGCAGTAATAAAAACATCGCAATTATTTCTGAATTTACAGTATCTGCTTTTGATTTGCAATGTTCTTCTAGACTCTGATTCTATTTGAATGCAGTTGGTTCCATATGTTCAATCTGTTATCAATATCGCCCTTCAAATCACTGGAAAATATAACAGAAATTGAATATAAAACTTAAATGATAAAAAAAAAAATGCTCACCTAACGACATCTGTCAGTATTTACTGAAATAATTCTGTTTTGTCATCGTTTTCACAAAAATACTTTCTTCACCAGAATCTTAAAATGTTAAAGACAAATAAAAATAAATATGATCTTTACAGGGCTGAAATGTGCCGATGATATACGGATTATGCATCGATTTTCTGTCATTCATCGGAAACATTTCACGAGTGTTGATACATCAGTAATCCACTTTTGATCCGACTTTCTCTTTGTGTTAAGCCTTATATAACTCCTGGATGGGGATCTAAGGCCAGAGATGATTGATTTTCTACTGTTACTTAATCCTATACATGTGTAAAATGTTAGGTTTAGATAATCGTTTAATAACACGATAGCATCTTGAAAGGAAAAATTATGAATTTTTCTAAAAGAAATTCCAGGATATCAGAGGAACAAATTTTTTTGAAAATTTAATTTTTTGGGTGTAATAATCACTTGTTTATGGATATATTCATCGGATAATATTTTGACACATCATTCGACCTAGGAGGTGTAAGTTAAAAGTAATCGAACACTTTGAACTTTGAGAGATGTGTGAGAAAGCATATCTCCAACTTTCAAATGGGTTAAATGGTCTTTTATATGTTTAAAATCCAGGATGGTCTACTTTTTAACAGCCTTACCTCCTGATAAGGCCTAATAAAAAGAAAAGATCAGTGTTTCAGAAAACATACTAAAAAAAATTTGGGTAGGTAGGTAAGCCAAAACATATAAATATCAATTAGGGTAGGTAGGTCGGCAAAAATTCATATATATCTTGTCAAAACAGGAGAAACAGTCAGACTTAAATAGTGCATGTTCAAAAATGACAAAAAAGATCTTTAGTGTAGGCACTTAAAATAAGGGTAGGTTAAGGGTTAGCAAAAACAAAAGTATTTTTTTATGCCCCTGCCGTAGTGGAGGGGGCATTAAGTTTTACCCTCGTCCGTACGTCCGTCCATTCATACGTATGTCCCAAAGTTGGTTTCCGTTCTCTAACTTTAGTTTTCCTCAACCAATTGTTATGAAACTTATACACAATGCTTATTACCACAAAACACAGATCAAATTTGAATTTTGGTGGCGTCACTTTAACTGTTTTAGAGTTATGCCCCTTTACAAATGGAAAAATGGCTGAATTTTTCATTTCCTTTCTCTAACTTTAGTTTGCCTCAACCAAATGTTATGAATCTTATACACAATGCTTATTACTACAAAATACTGATCAAGTACAAATTTTGGTGGTGTCACTTTTACTGTTCTAGAGTTATGCCCCTTTACAAACGGAAAAATTGCTGAATTTTTCATTTCCGTTCTCTAACTTAAGTTTGCCTCAACCAAATGTTATGAAACTTATACACAATACTTATTACCACAAAACTCAGATCAAGTACAAATTTGGGTAGTGTCACTTTTACTGTTCTTCAGTTATGTCCCTTTATAACTTATTATGATATGCAAGCGGGGGCATCATCTGTGTCCCATGGACACATTCCCCATTTCTTTATTAGGATTTTCTGAATCAGCTAACAGACTAAAATCTTGATTTAAATTTCTGACGGAATTCAGACATGACATAAGCAGTTTCTACAGTTTTTATACAGGGCAAAATTAAGCCAAGTTCATCTTGCTCTCCTTGCATATTATAAAGAGGTCCACCCTGTCCATGGCAAGTTAATTTTATACAGGGTAAATTTATGCCAAGTTCTACTTGTTATCCTTACCAGTTATAAAGAGGTCTCCCCCTTGCTCATTGCAAGTAGATTTTATACAGGACGAGCTAAACCCATTTTTAACTTGTGATCCTGGCCAGTTGTTCTGATTTCATTCATTTTACCCTATTTAAAGGGCAAGTACATTTTTGTAAATCTTTATTGACAGCAAGACAATGTTAAAGGGACTTACCCTCTGGTCAGTTGAACTGACCATCTTATATCCACCCCTGCTTGACATCTACAATGAAATAAAGGTATATGTTCATAAGAAAGACATATTCCTAAGCAAGGAAATCTTCAATACACTTTTTTATATTGGAAAGGAAAGCATTTGGTATATATATTACTTTATAAAACAAATTTAAACTCAACATTAATTTTAGGGGCCTCAATGGGCAAGAGGTCTAAGTAGTTTAACTATTGTATCACTAGTCTTTCAACACTGAGGTTGTGAGTTCGAATTTGGCATGTGTCAGGTGCGCTTGACTCCAATCTTATCTCCGGCCACTTCTGCTTCTTTCACTAATAAAAACTGACTGCCATGATATAGTTAATAGTCCTGAAAGTGGAGTTAAACACCAATCAATCAATCAACATTAATTTTCAAAACAATTTCTTGAAAGTGCTGACCAAATAAAGTTAAAACACCTGTTGATTGGGTTGTGCTACCTCTAGCTAAAACACTGAATTAAGGTGAGCACTAATTTAAAGGCTCTTTTTGGTCACTAATGATTTAGGTAAATGTTGTTTTAGGGTTGCAAGAACCAAAAAAAAAGAATACTATGTTTACATGATAAGGTTCTCTGTAGCTCCCCTTAAATCAGTTGTATATTTCAGTGAAATTTTGAGAAATTCTTCAGATCCTCATGGTACACGACCTATTTTATTATTCAAATAAGCCAACTTTTTTTTTTATTTACCCATAATCAAGCATATAAATCCTATATCTTCTCAAATCCTAGTCCTTTGGTGTTTGGTGGGTAGCTGTCTCCTTGGCACTTATATCATACCTCTCTATTTTAACAATGGCTTTGTTAGATAGAGAGAACCAGAAAGGGGATATAAATGATTGAGCACTGTAAACATTTTTTCTCACTTAACAAGAGCATTATGGTATAAATTTCTCCCAGAAGAAGGAATGATAGTTTCAATTAGCATAAAGAACTTTCACATTTAAATTTCTGTAAATTCGGAATTCAGGTTTGCAATAATAAAAATAATAAAAAGTTGCATTCATAATTTCAGTAGTGATTTTCTTTCACAAAACTTTTGCAATCGCATTAATTAGATCTCACATTTTTAACAGTAATCAGTGATTAGCAGTAATAAATGCACACATTAATTTCTGAATTTACAGTAAAGGTTTATCATAGAAAGTATCTTCTTTTTGTAGGATTTGAAAGTAGTTTTAAGAACCAATTTTATATCGACATTCTTGTGATAGTATTATATAAAATCTGAATACTATGGATCTATTTATATTTGAAGCCCCAATTTTTGCCCATTG